CGTCTGCCTCAAGTATTTTTTTATATACTTTTTCAATATATCTAAATTTCTAAAAAACATCTGGATTTATAAACAGTCCCCAATCCGCCTTTTCGGAATTCGGGTACCCGAACTTTCTGGGTATTCAAAAGTTTCGGATGACGACTCGAATACAAAGAAAATGCCCGACCCGATTTTAACACGAAATCTCGGATACCTGCCCACCTCTGATTGATAATAACCCTATTAGGAGTTCAATGACGTAATAAAATGAAGTTTTATGAAGGTGAAATTTTCTTTCTCAGTTTTTTTCTGCTTTATATCCAGTTTTTAAATTTCATTCCTCCCTTGCTACATGTTGTTAAACATTACTACCTTGCCAGGTAGTAAATTGGAAGATAAATGTTTGACCAGGTATGCTGCGATAATTATGTTTTCTTGCTTTCGAATCAGCCGAGCACGAAGGACTCAATCCCGCAGTCATTGACGTGGACATTCAACAAGTGGTCGACGATTCATCAAAGACAGCATAAACTCCAAGGACTCCGTACGTACGCTAATTTGACAGCGCCTGCTTCGCGAAACGACGGAGGACTTTCTAAACCGATTCGTTAGAACGAAGACGCAGTAAACAATTTTATCGAAGATAATATTCATTCAACTGACATCGTATTGCGCGTATAAAGAATTGATAGTTTATGACCGTTTGATGTCTTAGAGGTGACTAATAGAGAAGTATAAACGCTGCTTGATTGCGGAAGCTACTTAATCCGAATCATAAATACAAGTCTGATGTCTATACTAGCTGACCATCGGTATTGAAACTTCGTATGCACGTTGCCTTGTCAAAATTAATTTCTGAAACGGTCGATGAACTGATAACCGCGAACTGGTATATTTTAGGTAACAGGTATTACAACGAATAGAAATTATTCGTACACCTTTTAACACGGAATAGCCTTTTTATAATTGGGTCAAGCGGCTGAGTTTGTTTAAAATTATTAGAGGGATTAGTTTACTAGGCAATGGCTATAGAAAATTATTTTCAAAAATTGTAATTTGTTAGCATGATAAAATAATTAAAAACTGCTTCTCAAATTTTTCATCTGTGCCTATAACAAAAATTTGAAAAATGCATTTTGTAGACCTCGGTAACATATATGCCTGCTCAAATGACCTTGACACGAGCTGTAAACAATTAAAGATCGCGAAAATCGCAGTTTCTCACTAATTTCAACCAAAATCATGTGATTTTTACGTTTTTCAGTGTCTCGACCATGCATCGACAGATTTCGATGAAATTTTCAACATACATTAAGTTACGTAATTACATAGTTACATAGTTAATTTTTCGTTATAGGGTCAGATAAAAAAGTTGAAAAACTATTTTTTAGTTCTTTGTTATATTAAACTAATAAAAATTTAGATCGCTTCGTTCAAAATTATAAAAAAGTCATTCCGTTTAGAAGGTGTACGAATACTTTCTACACACTCCATATACAGGGTGTCGTGATATAATGATAGAAATTTATAATTCTATTTAAAAGAACATCGATGACCTTGAAATCTCGAAAAATATGACCTTTGAAGAAAAAACGATTTCAATCACAACACGTGTTCTTTTGAATCAAACAATTTGTTTCTTAAGTATTTTCGCGTTACTTATAATCGAGTTACTGAGACACGCTGTGTACAAAGTATATAGTCGACTACTTTTTTCTATCAAAGACAATATCGATATTTATGATTCATAAAAATATTGTAATCACATGCATATTTTATTAACTTTCTATACCATTGCTGAAGAAACAAAATACATGTTGAACTAATGAAAACATACCAAGTCGAACGCATAGTATGTACAACAATCGTCTCAATTTTCTAATAAAGAGCACTGCTGCTAAATTGGTAGCAGCTGTTGCCAGCGGTCGTATAATAAATTTTTCGCAGGTGATACAGTCCTGCGAATCATAACGAGAATGCGGAACACCTCATACAGACCAAAATTCCCTCTACCAATTAGGTTATGTAATAATTTCCAGAAAAATTCAGCGTGTCTCTCTAATTTGAAACCTCTTATACAGGGTGATCCACCTAAATAAGACCAACTAAATGTCTCCCCTAATTGTTGAGGTACTACAAATATTATATATGCTATTTAAATGGTTTGAAAAAAAATCATTGTATTGCAATAATATCTTTTTTCTAAGGTAATATTCTTCGGGAATTTTTTGCGTATAATCGTATAATTTTTTTACTGCATCGTGTAGCTCATATAAAAATATGTTCAGATATGTACATTAAATGACCTTGAAATGATCTTTGAGTTCAACAATGAAATGGAAACGAAAAATTGTTGTCTATCGAGACTTTAAAGACGAAAACGTTATTCGGGAATGTACAAGTATCACTGAAAAAGTGTTACTATCATGAAACCCCATTATGCAATACCTTTTTTACAAACCTATTTCTTAATCTGTTGTTGTAACAGATGTTCGAGATGGTGTCCCTCCACATCGATACATTTTTGAAACCTAGAATAAGAGGCTCTCTGGCCCTTTCAAATGTTGTCATCGCACCACAAGCTGTTATTATTCTATCTTTCATGTTCTCTGGCTTTGTTGGTTGTTTAGAATAAACAACTTTTTTTAAATGTTCCCAGAAAAAATAATTCATAGCTGTGAAATCCGGAGTCCGCGGTTGCCACGCTACACGCCCAATATGTCCAGTCCAACAATTTGGAAATTTTGTATCTAAAATTTGTCTTAGAAGGCGTGTAGAATGGGTCGGACAACCATCGTGTCGATATCGAGACTATACAATATCGAGATTTTAGAGACACACACGAATCATATTGTTGCGTCCAGAGACAAGGGCCATAAAAAGGTCCCACCATTGGGGAAACCCTCTCAGGCCCCATCATGGGTCAAGGCAGACACCCCCCTCCAAGGGGTGATTCGTGCCTTGACCAATAATAAACAATCTACCTCCATCCACGGGTGCTCTTCCACGACTTTCCAGCGTTGGAAGAGCATTCTTCCACCAGCGCTCGCAGAGAGTACAACACAAAAAATAAAGTTCTCTAAGACTACTAGAGACCCTTCCACGTCATTAATTTGCCGTAGGAAGCGCGAATCGAGCGTACAATAGTTCGGTCACGCATGTACGTTAGGCGACTAACCCAACGTACGGACAAAACACATATCACACTACGAATGACTTCTAACACTGAAGTGTGATCATTTCTAAACGACCTTGCACCGTAAACGACGCCTGCGGTATCTTAAGTAATCGAATGATGGGTCCTTATTTTATAAATGGTACATTAAATGAACAAAAGTAGGCAACATTTGTGCAAGATGAGCTACAGATGCTTTTAAATGATGTACCATCAGACATTCGTGGAAGAACACGTGTGGCGTCGCATCCCTCTACCTGAGCGCGGCCGCTAGCAATAAAACAAGTACCGCTCCTAATCCTCAAAATTCCCTAAAAAACACGCACCCCTAATAAAACAATTCTCCTCACATCTGGACACCTCGACCCGCACGGGATTTTCCCAACTTTCTCCTTTCCTACGAAAGCCCATCTATTCCTTTCTTCTCTTCCACTATAAAAGAGACAAACGCGCAACTCCAAAAGCTCAGTCTGTCCTAAGTTGCTAGTCCTACGACACCACGCTAGTCGCGCCCGCGCACATCGATAGCAATTCAATAAACTGCATTAATAGTAACCTTAAACACGCTCTCCGATTCGCTAACCTTCCCTTTAGTGCTAAACACGCATTAACACGATGGTTCATTCTACACGTTTTGTAAGACAAATTTTAGATACAAAATTTCCAAATTGTTGAATTCGGCGTATCGGACGTTTATCGTGGTCACCGCGTTCATCGGATCTCACGCCTATGGATTATTTCTTATGAGGACATTTAAAAGAAGTTGTTTATTCTAAAAAAACAGCAACACCAGAGAACATGAAAGACAGAATAATATAACAACTTGTGCTGCAATTAATCTCACAATATCTCTCTTATTCTACGTTTCAAAAAAATGTATCGATGTGGAGGGGCACCGTTTCAAACATTTACTCCAATGACAGCTTAAAAAATAGGTTCCTAAAAAGGTATTACAAATTTCATAATTGGGTTTCGTAGTAGTGAATATATTTATTTACATTTACAGATTCCCGAACGACGTCCACGTCTCTAAAGTCTCGATAGACAAAACTTTTTCGTTTCACATTTAATTTTCGAATTTAAAGATTATTTCGAGGTTATGCCATATACAAATCTGAACAATTTACACAATGCAATGGAAAAAATTATACGATTATATGCAAAAAGGTCGATAATCTTGAGAAACTTCAAGGAAGATTATCTTAGAAATTAAAAAAACTACCGGCACAATTGAAGGAGATATTTAGGTGGCCTTATTCAGGTGGGCCACCCTGTATTGTATTTCTTTTATTTTATTCAACTAGGTTTATCATAATTGGTCCGTCACTTTGTAATTTGTTTCTAAACTGGGGGGAATCCGTAACTTAAAATGTTCGTTCATAACGAAAAGTGATGTCTAATAATTCTTTTAAAACCGCCTATCTTCACTGTCGCGATCAATCTCATCACCGGCTCCAATGATGATTAATAAGAACTAGGGTTAAACGAATGTTCATTCTGAATAACTACGATACGTTAACGTTCGCAGAATTTTGAATTTAATTGTAAATCACGCTTTATGGCGTTTCCGTGGCATGTGGACCGTTTATTTTCGAGAAAATTGGATGTTAGCAAATCTGACAATTAAAAAATATAGGTTAATTATGTGAAGTCTGGGAATGTTTGTACTAATTTATCAATATGTAATTTGATTATTTAAATTTCTTTTAGGCGAATTTAACTAAAATAATATACAATTTTCAGGCTGCAAATGGACTTACATCACTTTCATAATTAGTCAATTGTAAATATCATTTAATTTCAATTTTGAAACAACAAATATCACTTTCTTTTTTTGCTAGAATGAATTTTCCTGTTTTTGTAAAGTACTCTCTTGTCCGGCATTTCGCTTAATTTTGCTTATTCGTTGCGTATATTTTCCTTTATTTTCTTTTACAAGATCCAAGCTCTCTCAGTAACAATATCCTCATCTGATGAAGATTCTATCTCTATAATTCTTCTTCTCTTTTTACGCTTCATTAATTTGTTTTTCATAGTGGAATTATCTTCATCCTCCGATTCTAAGATTAATTCTTTTGTTTATATTCATGGGTCTTATTTCTGTGTAAATTTATTTAAAATAAAATAAAATAAATATTCTCAATTGTCATAAAATAACATTGATTTACTATTTCTTCTATCCATTGTTGGAGGAAAATAAAATAAGTAACCTAAAATAGTAACGTTCGGCACGTGAAATAACACAATTGTGAAGCCACCGGTGGCCACTAACCCCGCCACCTGTCTATGGAAATTGGACTTACACCATTTTCATAATCAATGGTTACGCAATTTCTTTTACCGGCCAATTTTAAATTGAACAAAGCATTGGCATTTTTCAAGACATTAAATACTAACTAGTTATAAACAAAAAGTTCACACTAAATTAAGCATAAATTACGTCATATCTCATTTTTTTAAAAAAAAGGACTTACACCACTTTCAAAATAAACGGTCCATATATTTGATATAAATGCATAAACATCACCGACCTATTCATAACGCTCTTGAAAACAGCGAAGTGTGATCATGCCCCGGTAATTTTCTATGGTTTTATTAGCACTGGCGGCAAGTAGATTGCCGTGGTGGGAAGGGGTAGATTCGTTTGCGGCGAAGTAGAACCAGCCGGGGGTCGTGGCCATACGCACAAAGCCACATGTCATGTCGGCCTGTTTAATGGCCTTTTAATACTACCTCGCCGGTAGGGATGGGATCAAGTTTAATACGTGCTCACGAATCCGAATCAATTTCAGTATGCAAGTTTCGTTCCACATGCTTCAACTATGACTCGTAAACAGTCTGTAGC